GCTGAGGCACGGCAGGGAGCTGCTGCCTTTGGGAAGGGTGTGATGGTTGGGGTCTCGTCACACGTGTCCACCCTACTCTGTCCCCAGGAGCTCCAGGATTCACCCCCAGAGTGAGCTGGGGAGTGCCAGCAAGAGGAGCTTTCCCCACACCTCACTTCTCAAGCAGCCCAAGCTGGAGTAGGTGGCATCCCCTTGTCCCCACCACGCTGATGGTGCTCAAAAAAAAGCCACCAGCCACAGCCCCACGAGCCTGTGGCCACAGAGCGTTGCCCTGTCCTCCGTCCTGTGTCCTGGTGGCACTTACTTCTCTCGCCTCAGCTGTAGCAGCAGGCAGGATAACGCCTCAGGGTGCTCTGCAAAGGACAGGAGATCCTCAGCACAGGAGCTCGGGGTCATCATGACCCAGCGCCGTGCCTCTCCCACGCAGGGGACACCTCACCTTTGTACTTGAGGTGCTGCAGGATGGGGATGATGGTCTCCAGAGGAATGCTGTGTGCCAGGAAGAGCTGCCAGGTGCAATACTGCTCAAAGGTCTCCCAGTCCAGGCTTTGAACTAAGGGAAAGGAAATGAGGGTGAGGGGATCCTGCATGGTGCCAGGAGGAACATCAGGGACCACCAAAACCACCACAGATACCTCTGCCACTGTGCCAGGTGTGAGCAGGGACCTGGCATGTGGCACCAGGGGAGGTTCTGCCAGCTGAGGCACGAGTGGCAGAGCTGCAAAGTCACTAAAGCAGCTGCCTGGGGCTCAGAGGAAGAGAATTAACGAGGCTCTTTAATTAATGGGCTTAGACTGCTGCTTGCAGCTTGTGTAACACCAAAGCTGGATCTAAGCAGCCATCGGATCAGGGTGATGGGGCTTCTCTTTGGAAACATTTGCTGGCCCCCATGTACCTGCCGAGCTCTCCACGCTGGCTCTGCCCAAAAGCACCCCATGGCTGTGGCCACGGCCAGCTCTGACCCCAGGGCAGTAGCCACAGGGCACACGTGGGCAAAACGCAGCGTTGGCTAGAGATGGAAAAGGCTTTTCCACTGCACACCAGTCAGTGACTTGCACAGATGTTGAGATGAAGCCCAGTTAAAAAGCAACCAGGGGAACTGGGTCACCCACTGGTGATCCTGGGGGAAAAGGTGAGGAAGGTCACGAGGGAGAGATCATGGACACCAGCGTTTTCCTACACAGTGGCTAAGGGGAGCGTGGTCCTGGCAAAGGGCTGGGAGTCCATCTGAGGGGTGGTCCAAGGGCCAAACTAAACAGCAGCGAGGACCTTATTGCTCTTGGGATGTCACAGTCAAAAGAAAACAAAGGGAAATTCTGATTCCAATCCTTCTGACCATCCTTTTGCCATCACCTCCCAGCTGCTGCGCGGCGGGGAACAGCCGACTGCGCAGCACAAGCTACGGGTCTGCACCGAGACAAGTTCACATCCCAGGAGATGCAGCAGCTGGGACCATGTGGAGAGGCTGCAAAGCTGAGGGATATTTCAGGTCTTTTGTATTTCTCATATTATTATTTTTTCCTCTTTCTTATATTTTATTTTTCCCTCTGCCTGGGCAGGCTGTGGATGTGCAGAGCCCTGGATCACACTTTGCCTGGCACTGTAGAGAGCCAGGGTTCCCAAACCATCATCCAGCCAGGCTGGTAAAACCCATGAGAGCGCAGAGCCCGGATCACACTGCTAAATCTAACAATCTGGTTTAGGACAGTGATCCTTTAAGCAGTGGCAATAACACCGTGAGGAAATCCAGACCTCTGCAGAGCTCTTCCTCCAGCGGCGTGGCCACGTGCGGCATCGCTGAGCTAGTGCAGCGTGATCCGGACCACCACCCTCCCAGATCACAAAGCTGCAGCCTTCTCCCTTTCCAGGAACTTGGGGTCTCTTTGCAAAATTGGGGCCCAAAGGGCAGGAAGGCTCAGGGATGCTCAGGAACTGCTCTGCTTTCACCCCTCCTCGAGATGTGCCCAGACCTGGAGGAGTTTTACTCACTCAGGATATTCAGCACCGAGTCCTTCCGAAACATGACGAGGTTTCCCATCATCACATGGCACACCAGCTCCTGCAACTGGGCAGCAGAGAAAACAGGGTTTAGTGGGATGTTTGGGCTCTGCAGAAACCCTCTTCCATGGGGGATCACCGGGCAGATCTGGAGAGCAAGCGGGGAAGCTGTTGCTCTGCCAGTATCAGCCATCTCAGCAAGAGCAGGGATCCAGCGTGGAGTCCCAGAAACCCCCGTGGGCTGCAGGTGGCTCGTAAATCAGAGCTGGGTTAACCAGCTCCAGGGAGAAGCAGCTGTTGTGAGAGACCAGCCAGAGGCAAAGAAGCAATGAGAGGTTAATGGTTTCACACATCAACACCCAGGCTGGGGAGCAAGTGTCACGCTGGACAGACAGCAGATCCCCGTGGGCTGCGGGGCCAGGGTGGGTGGGATGGTGTCACCCTGTTTGGAGAGCTCAGCTGCCACCCATGCGCTGGGGACCTGCTCCTCATGCTCCAGGCACTCTCAGATTCAGGCTTTTGCTGATGGATGAACAAAGCCCACCCAGGGGCTGGCAGCAGGGGAGGGTTTGGCAGCCTGCTGGGAAAGCTCCAACAATCCCAGATCAGTCCACCCCGGGGCCCCAGATCATCCCTGGTCTGCAGGACGGGAGCTGACACTACCCAGATGTGTGGTGCTTCCTGCACTGACTCACCCCCATCATCCCTGGGAGAGGTGGAAGGGGAAGCAGGGGGGGGACGGGATGCACTGGGACCCTGACTGGGCTGCACTGGAGCAAGGTGGGGAGCTGGGGAGCAGCTCTGGCATTGACAGGCTCAGCACATTTTGGATCTCCTCTACCTTCCTCCCTGCTCCTCAGCCTCTGGGTCCAACCACCACAGCCTCCTCAAGCCCAGGGTGCTGGAGGGACGCGGAGCCCTGAGCTGCCCGGGCTCTGCCCCACGGCTCCGCTCGCAGAGCCCACGTGGGTCGGGCACAGAGGCCACACAGCCACAGCGTGGCAGGGAAACAGATGAAGAATAACAGGAAGGAACGAAGGAATTGGAGAAGGGAGGAGAGAGGAAACGCTACTGGTCTCTGCTGGGAAAAACAAAACCTTTGCATTTCAGCACAGGGCAGAGCCCAGGAGCAGAGAAATGAGAGCAGGGGGGG